GGGGATCGAGTGTAAACATTAGGATGTAAAAATGGTGTGAGTGAATACGTCAAACACGTGGTCACTCTGACAAGGTGGGCCCCATTTCAGCCGAAATCATAGAAGACTTTTTAAATTATCACTGACATTGGACTGTTTTTTTTTTTTTTTTTTTAAATTTATTTGTGTCATTTTTTTAATAAAATAATTAATATTAAACTTTATGTTAAAAACGTTTTTGCTGTTTTTTTTGTATTTTACTGAAATTTTCTCTTATTTTTTTATTTTTTTTATTTTGTTTTTTTTGACATTTTCTTTTTTCCGTTGAAAACAACTTTTGTTTCTTTACTCATAATGTTAATTGGGTGTCTACGTTTTTTTTATATTTCCAACTTGATGTTCATTACTTACTTAAATCTTTATAAAATGTCCACATTACCCTTCTATTTAATCTCGAGTAAAAAAAATATTTAAAAAAACTTAATTTGGAGATTATTTATGAAGCTTAGATAAAAATTTATAAATTTATAAGAAAAGTTGAATTAATTTTCTTATAATTAATGTGAACATCATAACCTTTATTCTTTTTATCAACAGTGACTTATTTAGTATTTTGTAAAATATTCAAAGCACGTGCTACGTTTATATTTTTCATATAAATGTAAAGTGTTTCTATACAGACGTCGATAAATGTTAAAATGGCTATGAAATTCTTTTTTTAAGGTTAATATTATATGCCACAACCTTTTTTTATTATTATTTTTTTAACTACACCCTTTTAATAAATAAATAAAGGAAAATGGTTGGTAAAAAAAAAAAAGAATTCCATAAAAATTGCATTTTCAATATATTTTTCCATTTTTAAATATATAAAAACCAGCTTGTTTTCCTCTTATTAAAGTATTATTATTATTTTGCAATAAAAGAACCGCAATAATTAAAACATATGATTTATTATAATAATAATTTTATATTACTTTAAATCAAGTGGACGTGGTTCGTGGGCTAAGTTGATGGGCCATGATGAATAAATTGGGCTGGGCTTTTTCTTTGCCATTAATTTGTATTATTTATTTAAACCATTAATAATGAATAAAGAATAAATGGCTAATTAAATATAAAGGTCTGTTAAGTATCTTTATTATTTTAAATTAATTATAAATTATAAACTTTATTGTAATATTTGATTTTACGTTGAACAAATATTTGAAAATTAATTTATTTTAATGGCTTTTAATGTAGTATTTTATTTTTTTATTAAATAATTTAAATTAATATTTATGTTTTTTTAATTGGCTAATACCCACAGTTGTAGGTGCTAAATTTCAATAGGTTAGAGAAATAATATATATATATATTTAATAATATAATATAAAAACCATAAGATTATTGGAGGCATTTAATTATGGCTAATATTTAGTGTAACCCTTCGTATTAAGATTCATGTAATGTGATTATCTCTTTAAAAAAAAAGATCTGCATGACGTATGCATCCAGATATTTTGATTAGTTTTTAATTAGTAGATTGATTAAGCACTAATAAAATTTTAAAAATATCTTAAAGAGATGCCTTTTTTTTATATATATTTCGTCATGTAATTAACACTAAATCTCACTAGTTTTGTATATTTATTTTAAAACTGACCAAAAGCCGACAACATTCTTCCAATTAAACCCTGTTCATAGTAGATGAGTTTTAAAATTGTAAGACTGACGATACATAACGTGCCAAGGTGGACAATATATACTATCTAAACCCTCTTTATAATAGAAGTGTTTTAAAACTGTGAGGTTGACAACGATACGTAACGGACTAATTGTTAGTAATGGCCTTTGATGGTTGCATTTAGTCTTTTTAGAATTGAAGTTAATTTAAAATAAAGTCCTAAATTCGAAAGCTATTTTCAACCTTATATGCATTTCTTTTTTCATACCACTAAAACACGTAGCTTAAAATGAGTTTAGTGTCACAATCACACTTAACACTTAGCTTTACCGAGTCAAAACACCAATAACGAATCAGCGGTGTTGTAGCTCATCTTCTCCAAGTTGGGTTGCACGGCGAACTTAATCATCGGCGGCGGTCCACAAGCCAACGCCAGCGAATCGGCCGACGCTGCCGGAAGATGCTCCCTCATGATACTCTCCGACACCACGCCGACACTATACTCCCACCCTTCTCGTACACTCTCTTGCACCACATACCACACATTGAACCTCTTGTCAGTCCTACTCCATTTATCCAGCTCTTCCCTCATCAAGATATCATTCTCCGTTCTGTTCGCATACACCAAGAACATCTCCGTTTCATCCTCTGGGTCCTTCAAAATCGCCTGCGCCACTTGATATATCGGCGTTATGCCCGTTCCGCCGGCTAACATAGCTAGCTTCTTGGCCTTCTTAGGCTTGCCGTCGACTAGAAAGTGGCCGCGCCCGGTGTATTCGATGTGCCCCAATGGGCCTTTCACTTCAACTTCGGAACCGAGTGGGAGCGAGTCCAAATGCTGCGACATGAGCCCGCCGTTGGGGAATTTGGGGTGGGCGTTTTTGAAGTAGATTTTGACAACCAATTCGAAGTAACCCACTTGGTGGATGCCGCTGGTGGGCGTGTAGGCTCTCATGCATAGCTTGCCGTCTATGTTTGCGCAGAGGAATACGTGTTTACCCACCGGTAATCCAAGCACTTGATCCTCTAATGGCAGAGCGAATCTCAACCGTCTGACGTCGTGGGAGATTGCCGTTTTGGAAATCAATTTGCAAGGGATTTTCTCACGCGGGATTAGAGCCACGCGTCGCGTCTCCGTGATTGGAGCTAAATGGGGGATATTATGATTAACTGTCCCATGAACGGAGGTGTCAGGCGACGAATCCGATGCGTAGCCGGTTGTGATCAACTCGCCGATTCGGTAATCCTCGAGCATTTTCTTCGCTTTGTCGGAGTGAATGGCGTCGAATTCCTCCGTGCAGTCGGTGCCGGCGTTGATGAGAATGCTGTCGGTGCCGCCGGGATGATCCTTGAGGAAGCGGGTGCAGTCGTAAACATGGCCGTGGACGACGATCCAAGCGGATTGGTCGGAGTTGTGGGTTTTGACATCGGATATTGAGTATATGTTTGACGCGGTGTTGATGAACGGCGATGAGATACTCTTCTTCATGGTTTGGTTGTTTTCGGTGGATATCTCGAGGTGTCTCTCTTTAGCCATCCATCCGCCGGACTGGTTTCCCGGCAAAGTTGGGTGTTCGAAAACGATTCCGATCTCTCCCTTGTGCGGCTTGCACATATTGGTTTTGACTCGAAACCAGCAATTGTTCATCATTCCCTGAAAAACCCATAAAGAAATTAAGTAAATTAACGAAGATGAGGCCGTGAATCAGTCAAACGCATCGACACCCACTTACCATGAGATTCCATATGAGCTTCTCCGGCTGAGTGTTGAAGGCCTCATCCCAGGCGCGGACTGCAATTTCCTTGGCCGCAAGCAGGTCAAGAACCTCCACCTCCAGCGACCAGAAACACCAACACCAATACTTCCCGTATTTTGTAGCCTTCTCTGGGCTGTTCAAATCGGAGAGATGCCATGTTTCTCCGCCGTCGAGAGTCACCTCCACTCGTGTCACTTTCTTCCCCCCTCCTGTAATTACTCATTTTTAACTTGAAATTCTCCACACAATGACGCCAAAAAACTGAAAAAAAGACCCAAAACTAACCGGAATATGCATATCCTCTTAACGTATACGGCCGTTGTGTAGTCCATGAGTTTATCGGCAGGATTTCCTCGTGGCATGGTGTGGTTATAACAGAGTTTATGTTCAGTTCGCTGATAATACACTCCGGTTTGTACCACCAAGCTACGAATTCATAATCTCCGCCGTGTTAGTTCTTGTAATGATGAAATTAGAATTGATTATATGATTTGATTTCTGGGTTTTGTTTACCTTCGGCGTTTGTCAATTCTGCATCGACATGGGAGGGGAGGACTTTGTTATCTCTGTAATGGTAATAGCTATCTGATTCTTTTGTGGTTACGATAATGCGTTTTAGCCATTTCACCATCCGGCCGCCGATGAATCCCGGCGTGATGACCCGAACTGGAAATCCGTGGTCCGGTGCTAACAGATCGCCGTTTTGCATATACGCTAGCATTATATCTCTACCTGGGTCCATGGCTACTTCCTTTCTCAGGCTAGTGCCGTACTTGGACCCACCGCCGCCGGGCAAACACTCTGCTCCTTCAAAGCAGACATTGAGGGCCCCTTTCTTACTGCTGAAGATTCCACAGTGCTTTAACACGTCTCGGAGTGGGACCCCTCGCCAGACCGACGTGGAGATCCCGCCGCCGCCCCAGTTGAATCCGATGGTTTTCTTAACCATATTCTGCTCCTTCCGGCGGTTACCGGCGCAGACGAGTGTGACGGGAAATTCCCGGCTACGGAAATCGTTAACGAGTTGGTCCATAGTGAACCGGGTTGGTTTTTTCACTAAACCGCAAATCTCGACGGTCCAATCGTTCCAATTCGCCTTGGGGACCGGGCCGTGGTTACGGACGTAATGAAGCGGAACCGGAGTGATGAACCCATGGTGCATCAAACGGGGCAACGGCGGCTCCGAATTGAAAGGATGTTTACCCGTAAGACGAACCATGGACGCATTTCTCTCAATCCAACCGTCCGCCGTGCCGGAATCTCTCGGATCGTGAACCGACGGCTCCAATTCGCTCAACCCTTTTCGAATCAAGTCGCTGAAATCGGAGTCGTTGTCGTCGTCACTGGAGAAGTCATCATCGCCGGCGTTCTCCATTGCCGCCGTCTTCTTGGGTACGGAGAACTCCGGATTGGAGGGAAAATTACAGCCACGAATGGCGGAATCCAAATGGGGAAACTGACGATTGTGGACAGAGGTAGCCATGTGAAGATGGGTTAGTTCGAGTTCCAGTCGTTTATAAGTGAAAGAAACAGAGGAGTGTTCCCTGAGAGAGAAATGAAGGGAGAGAAGGATTATATAGGGAACAACCCAGAAGAAGACAAGAAATCAAAAGCAAAAGCAAAGATCAAGTTGGCGATGAGGACTAAAATAATATATAAAAAGAATGAATCATCCATAATTTGTTGAGAGGGGAAAGAGTCAGTTTGGGCTGGAGGGCTAAAGAGGCGGTTTGGCGTGCACCGAACATAGCGAGCCAGTGGGTTGTTCTTCAGGTCTACATTATGAGTAAATGGTCAAAAAAGGAGCAAAAAGGGAAGGAACCAAGAGCCCCAAAGGCAGCAAAGATCTAGAGAGGGGGGCATAGCTCGCAACTGGGGGCGGGGGTATCGCAGGGGAAGGTTGGTGGGTGCGGGAAGAGAGGCAGCAGAGAGAGGATAAATGTGGCCTTTGGAGGACGCTTAAGGCCATCCAACCTTAATTCAAACAAACCCTTTATTATTATATATAAATATTCTATCCCAGTAACCATGGACCAACGCAGAAGCAGCCGCATAATTCAGTACAGGAACTCTGGATCCGGTGGGCCATACACAGGACATGGCCATGGACATGGACATGGACATGGACCAAACAAAACAATGCCACCCCCTTCTGCACTCACACCGACCCACTGCCTCCTTACATGAACAAAGTAACTCAAAGACGTTTATTTTTTTTCGCACCTAAAATACGTAATTATCATTATGCTACTCTTGGAAAACGTAACACAGAGTCTACCTGATCCTTCAGAAAACAAAACAAAAAAAAAAAAAAAAAAAAACCAAGTCGGCTACAAAAGCTAGAGNGAACTCTGGATCCGGTGGGCCATACACAGGACATGGCCATGGACATGGACATGGACATGGACCAAACAAAACAATGCCACCCCCTTCTGCACTCACACCGACCCACTGCCTCCTTACATGAACAAAGTAACTCAAAGACGTTTATTTTTTTTCGCACCTAAAATACGTAATTATCATTATGCTACTCTTGGAAAACGTAACACAGAGTCTACCTGATCCTTCAGAAAACAAAAAAAAAAAAAAAAAAAAAAGAACCCAAGTCGGCTACAAAAGCTAGAGTCGAATCCATGGCAATTATTATTACAAAGTATGGTTTGTTAATGTGCTATGGTCCAATAGAGGGATTGAGTTACAGTTGATTAAAGAATTAAATAATCCTCCACTATAGGAAAGACTATTTTTTAATAACAAGAAATGAAAATCTCCAACATACTCTGAAATGGCAGTGGAGGCTGCAGAGGAAGACAGAAACAAATATACTTGGTGCCATAAGGAATCACCGTCCAATTTATGGGAAATGTAAATTTGTTAGTCCTTTTCCTGTCTTGGGATTAAAGATTCATGAAGTTCATGGTAATATTTGCATAATAAACTGCAATAACATCAAACATAAGAAGACTAAGATAAAGAATAATTATGAAGAGGTTAAAATTAAATTTATTTTCTTTTTTTTTTAAGGATGAATGCTTAAAGAGTAACAAAAGAGCCAAAATTCTGGAAATGGGGAAATGGCAGTGACATCTTTAGCTGCAATTGCAAACAAAAAGTACAGCACCTATCCATCCCCTTCCCCTAAGTGTCCTTCAGAACAACGAAAAGACAGCCAAGTTGAAAACTTGTATGCAAGCAGAGACTTCCTATTTTCACTTTATTTGCACTTCGCCAAAGTAACACGCATTCTCTGCATCCTTCCCAACGTTGTCAATTTTTTCTTTTTTTTTTTCTCGTCGAAAGAAAAATAGGAATAAAACCCTAAACCCAACTTACCCCAAAACCAAGTTGATATCAGGCATTTGGGATCACCAAGTCAGATGAGACCCCATAGGAAAGATTTTTCATATTCAGACAGCGCTGGAGGGTTCTGGTAACTTGCATCTGATCGGCTTCAAAGATGGCTTCAGGTTCATGTACTGTAACAAAACAATTGAACACATTCTAAGTGCCCCGAAAATTGTTGTATAAATACAATTTGAGTTCTTAAATTCAATCTTTACTTTAGTAATTCGCCTAATGTCAAACTCCATCACGTATTAAAACAGTAAAATGAAACAAGAAAAAGAAAAGAATGAAGCGACATTGTGAGTTTCGCTTTCTACTGTCTCATGCATAGTCTGTAGCTCAACCCTACAAACTCATGATTTGTTTTCCTTTCTGATAATCGTAGTGGGATATACCCTACAAACATATAACATCTAAAAAAATTTAACATTGTGGGAAACCAATGATAACAAGTCACGCCCATGGTTATTCATGCCTCCTAATCAAAGAATATGGTTGAGAGCGACATATTTTAAGCATAGGCTGGGCTCATGCATATTATTGACCAACATACGAGAAAGGTTAAACACGTCCATGGATATTGGCATCGACATTTGATTCGATAAGAGAACTGACGCTGAAATATAAAAAAAGATGATAAACAGATAATGCAGAAAGCAAGAACTTGAATGAAAAGATAGGCAGCAAGCACCAAACCTGCTGATAAAAAGCATTAATCTCCTCCTCTGTTAGCCCTTCATCCTCTCCTGAATCTTCTTCCCATCCAAGAGAACGAAGAAATGCAACCTCTTCCTCATCTGTACATAATGCTAAGTTAGTGCTCAAACTCTTATTCACAACATCAGAAGACCTCTGAACCTCTTCAGCGGTATCGCCATTGCTAGCTACCTCATCATCTGTAACAGTAGAAGGATGCATTGCAGCATTACCTATTTCCCCGCTCACTAGTCCAGATTTTTCCTTGACGGGAGATGTGAAAATACCTGAATCTTGGAGACTAGTGGAACCATTTACCACAGTTTTCTTCTTTATGAGATTAAAGAAATCATTCCTGCTTTGTAATTGAGTAGAAGGGGGTCTCTTTTCCAAAGTGGATCCTGATTTCAGATCTGATGCAGCTACCTTCCGCTCTAGAGAGGATGAAGGATTCAGGTTGTTTTGGTTCCTCGAAGTGATAGTTGTTGCTGAAGAGGCAACAGAAGAAGGTTGGCAATTTGCAGTTCTACTGTTGACATTACTAATAGGATTTGAGCCATCCTTTAACACGCCATTCTCCCATACTGGTTTAAGAACAAGAAATTTCCCATGAGTGGTCTTCGGAGAATCAGACTTTATTTGTCCACCTCGAAGAGGCTGACTATTATGTTGCCCTAGAGGCAGCTGTTGTTGACCTCCCTTGGCAGGCACATTTACTTCAGCTGTTCTGGATGCTCCTTTGGACTTGGACTTTTCAAAAGAATGAACCTGAGAATAAAAGGAGCCAACAACTTTGAGATAATGCATAGTTTTGCAGCCAACATATTACAATCGTCTTCTACAACATGAGGTCGGAAGGAATATTATTTCACCAGGAAAAAAAATAAATAAATAAATAAAATCTCATATGTATAATAACCACGAAAGCTTCTTTGTAACCAAGAATGTTGTTTAAAAAGACAGCTGATTCTCCTTCAACTCTTAAAAAAAAGGGCTGAGAAAAAGAAGATTCCCAAATCAGAATTAAAATAGAGAAACAGATTATACAAAACAATGCCATCAGTATTGCTCAAAATGGGACTGACCCGACGAAATAGAGTACAATGAAGGCAGGCTTGCAATTAAAGGAGAATGAGATTGAATATAAAAAAAGCACCGTGGAAACTGTCCATTTGTAGGGTATGGTAGGATCCTCTAGATAGGCGGGTCACTAGCTGCAGAACTGGCCAATGTGTTGCAGTGGAACAGGAATTCAGAGGACAAGACAGTCTGTTTAGTGAGATCGTGTTTAAATGCCAATGATCTGCTTTACGGGAGATATGCATGTAAGAAATAGAAATTTTTTCCAAGACTCCTACAGAGAACCTTCATATCTTTGAGAAAATGTTTCTTTTGTGGATTTGACTATGAATCCACAATTTATGTGCTGAACTCGGAGACATCATTTTCACATTTTCATCACGTCTTATAGAACCATTCTCTTTCATTATTGTTTTTTAGAAGAAAAAATATGTTCACCTAAGAAGTGGTCAATTACAGGTCTTACCTATTCAGCAATAAAATAAGATCATAAATGATTATGCTTAACAATGAGATGAACTAGTTTCATTTCCATTTTATTACTGAAATGTTCTACTCAACAACACCGCACTTATAAATTTTCAATCAACATGTTCTCATTCACCTGAATGCTCAATTATGTAAATCCAATGGTGAACAGATCAGAACAACTTCCTATGCGGATCAAAATATCCAAATTTAAACTTCTAAAAAAAGTTTATTTGTTCACACGATGCCATCACGTTTTTTAGCTATGAGACCATATTTAATCTATTATTATTTTACCCATATTTTGCCTCCAGAAACTGAATGGGCCTAAGGTAACCATGAGAAGGAAGTATAGCATGCAAACAATTCTTGAAAAAAGCTTCTGTCCATGGATTAAAAACTAGTAATCTCCAAAGACATTTTTTTACTAATACAATTGGCCAGAAGATAGCAACGAAGTATTAGGTACAAAGAAGATAAACAAAAGAGTATGGAAAAATATGGATTTCTGTTGCATGAACTATAAACAAAAAGTGTGGCTGGAGAAAAACTTACAGAAACTTTGGGCATCGAAGGTGTTACTGGGATTAATTGCCGGGACTGCTTAATAGCCAATTCCTCAAGCCTTTGTGTCGTGACAGATAACTACAAACAAATAATGAAATTATATCAACTGCAGCAAATGTTTTCTTCAAGCGCTTAAGAGGAGAAAGTAACCACCTCAGTTGACTGATGAGTAACACGAGATCGTGTTGGTGCCTGTGTTAAAGCCTCGGCCATCTTGCGTGGAGTTGTTGCATTTGGGGACCCCAAACCAGAATTGGCAGCAACACTCTGTTGAACAAATGATGGAGCAGTCATACTGCCTGTGACTACAGTCGGCACCTCGGCCAACGCTGATGTCCATCCTTCCCGACCAATCAAAGTTGAATTTCCAATAGGAAAGCTCTGAACAGATGTGGTCAAGCCAGGAGATGATA